TTTTTTTTTTTTTTGCTTTTCCAGGGAATGGGGCTTGTGATTGCTCAGGCTTTATCTGAATACAACAGGTAAATACACTTTTTTCATTTGAATGGTTCAGTAGGTAGCAGACTTATTAAGAGTTCTTGGGTAGAAATCTCTGACCAACCCCAAGTGTTCAGAGGTATAGCTGCAGGCAGATGTATTTGCAGTAGCTCAACTGATGGCATTAGCAGGAGTGTTTTTAACACCATGGAAAAGTAGCCACCAGGTTGTATGCATCTTTAGTCTAAGCAGTTGGGCTCTTTCTTTTGCAGATTTTGGTCTTTTATTGCAGAATATTTTAACCATATTTCTAGCTATAAGCCAGCTTTTTCTGTTTGGCCCAATTACATTTTCTATGTATAAAAAGCTCACAGAGCACCAATTTTTTTTTTTTTTTTTTTTTTTTGTATTTTTTCTCTTTTTTTTTTTTTGAGATACAGTCTCACTGTGTAGTTCAGGCTGACCTTGAACTCTGTGTAGCCCACACTGACCTTAACTCTCAGCAGTCCTTGTGCCTCAGCTTCCCAAGCAGCTAGGATGACATGCCCGGCTAACCCTTTTTACTTTTAAGAGTACAAATAGCTGGGTGTGGTGGTCCATGTCGATAATCCCAGCACTGAGGAGGCCGAGGCAAGAGGATTTTCATGAGTTTGAGGCTTGCCTGAGGTGCATTTAAGGCCAGCCTGAACTACTTTTTTTTTTTTTTTTTTTTTTTTTTTTTTTTTTTTTTTTTTTTTTTTTTTTTTCTTTCCCGGAACCGGGGATTGAACTCAGGCCCTTATGCTCTACTGAGCCATCTCCCCGGCCCCCCCCTTTTTTTTTCAATATTCTTTTTTAAACCTTTCATTTTTTAAGTGCCTCTAAAGCATTAGCTGATCTTAGTACTCAGACGATCCATGTTGTTACCTAACTCAGTCTACTTTTGAGAAAGTGAGTGACGAGGACTTGGAAAGTTACGCCAAGAAAAGTGATCTGCTTTTCTAAGTTGCTGTTGTCGTGGCGATCTGTAGGGCAGCAGCTGGTGGGCTTCTTCCCAAGGATCCGCCTGCATGAGCTCTTGCCTGTAGTTTGTGGCAGCAGCAGGCCGCGACTGCAGCTACGGGAAAGACACGTGGAGAGCCTCGCTCTGGCAGTGCCTTCTGTAGCCTGGTTCTGTGTTATCTAAGGCCTCACGTGTTGGCTGGCAAGAAAGCAAAGCTCTCTTTCTCTGCTCCCAGCTGACATGTGAAAGGCACCCTCAGAAGCCTGATTAAATGAGGTCTGGGGGGGTTAGCCTTGCAGTTGGGCTTTCAAGTTTCTTAGTAATGAGCTTTCTTGGTAGCTGTAAAAACTGCCAGTCTGAGAACTATTGTTCTTCCTCCCTCGGGTTAGAATTGGTGCCTGAGCTGTATGAGGTCTGCCTCGCATGCTGTGGGTGGGTAGTTTTCAAGGTGATTGGGTTGTTGGTTTCTGTCCCCTTGTAGGAGATGGTCCAGTTGTTTAATGAGTTTAAATATATGTTTATTTCCATATGCTGCCCAGCTGAGATTGGGTCTAGAAAAACTCAAGAAATCTTCCATTGTTAAAAGTGATGGGATGATTGTTAAATCCCAGTGTCCTGACCAGATTGTTGCTTGGGTAATTACATCCTTTTTTCAGTTCCCCTGCAGTGTTACTTGGGTATCAGATCTCCGTAAATGGCCTCTCTGGCTGTTAAACAGCTGCCACTTCCCACCCCCAAGGTGGCTTTGTTTTACGGGTGGGTGAGCCAGTCTTTGCATGTAGTTTGTGAAATGGTTAGGGAGCCTTTGAGATGCGAATGTAAGGTAGCAACTCATAAATATGCACCTTATGGCAAAGAAGCTTTTATGTCCCCCAAAAGACAGCTATCCTTGTAGACTCTGGGGGGAAGGTCAAAGTGAGTTTTGTGGTGTGTTCACTTTTTAGTAAAATGAAAAGATGGGAGAAGTGGTGGACCTAAGCCTGAGCTAATTCAGTGTAGAGGAAAATGCAGGTAGAACAGAACTGGGGTGCGTGTGTGTATGTGTGTGTGTATATGTTTGTGCATGTGCACACAAACGTGTGTGTGCTTGACAAATATACATGCTGAGAGATTTACTGGAAATTGGGGGTGTCAGCAGGCAAGGTGGGCCGCACTGGGTATTAAGAACATCACCAAGAAAGACGACCTTACATAGCCAGGTGTGGTGGCACACACTTATAATCCTAACACTTGAGAGTCTGAGGCAGAAAGATTGCCATGAGTTCAAGGCCAGCTTGAACTACACAGTGAGATGTCTCAGAAAACAAAACAAAAAAGGCCTTATAGAAGTATTGTGAACAATTTCTGAAGTAGCTAGTGGGCTTTCTTAAAAGAGGTCACACTCAGTTCAACTCCTGTCTCGTTCAACAGTCTGTGAACCCTTACATTGTGAAGCTGTCCATCGTGGATGATGAGGCTACTCTCAATGTGAGTATTGGGCTGTCATGTGTTGCCTTGCTTGCAGTTAAATGGTCCTCCCTGTCACGCACGGGGCATGCAGTGCAGAGTTTCCGTGCTGATTTCATCTGCCTGTTAAGAATGAACTGGATAGAGCAACAACACTGTTGTATTAGTGTCAAGGGAGAGAGGTTTGAGGGAACATGTGCTTGGTGATCATGCTGAAGTGTGGCTTATGCATGTTGTGGGGTGCCGAGGCTGGCTGTTGACAGAGTTGATTAAATTACATGTCCAAGACTTGAGTGTTGGTTCCTTCCTGTAGAACCAGCCATATGGTTATCTACAACCTTGCTTATTGAAGCTAAAACATGAAGGATAATGATAGGTTCTGGCCCTAGTATGAATTGCTAAATTATTATGGTGGTCATCTAACATGGCTGAAACCCTTAAAACAAAGGTTATCTTCCCACTGACCACTTCCTCCTCCCCCAGCCCAGCCCTGGATACAGTTTCCTCTTACCTTTCCCAAGCACACAGGGGAGACCTCAGTCAGCTCCTTACCTGTAATTGAAACTGACCCTCTTAACTCCACCCCCAGCAGAAGTCCCTAAAAGTCTCACCTTTCTTTGTCTCAGGTCAGAGGATCTGCCTGATCTGCCCTTGATCCTCTCCATGTCTTTGAAGTTAATGAAGGTTTTTTTTATCTTTCCTATTTCTCTCTCTCTCTCTCTCTCTCTCTCTCTCTCTCTCTCTCTCTCTCGTATTTAGGACACGGTCTACAGGGTCTCACTACGTAGATTGGATTCGTAGTGATTCTCCTGTTTTCAGCCTCTGGGAGATTACGGACCCTGTTGCCACAGTCTCATGGTCTCAATGCAACCCCCCACCCCACCCCACCAACTGGCCACTGCTCTGAGCTATCTGGCCAGCTCTAATATCTTTCCTGTTTCTTTGCTGCTGAAAAACTGATAGGTTTTTTCAGGTGCCTGGAGCAGCAGAGAAACAGGCAGAAGGAAAAATGGAAAGGGGCTTTGGAGAGAATTTGGGGAAGATAAGGAATTCTCTGTATTGGAAAAAAGGAGGCTGAGGAACAAAAGAGGCCAAGCCTTCTGTGGCCTTTTACCAGGGGTGGAGTTTGAAGGGGATGTTTAGATATACCTGAGGAACGACTGGGGTTCTTCCCTGAGGTGGCGGGAAGGGTGGAAGGAAACTGTACCCTGGGCTGAGTTGGACAAGAACGGGGAGGTGGTCTTGGGAAGATGGGGCTTTTGTTTTAAGGGCTTCAGCCATATGAGATGACCACCATAGTGATTTAGCAACTTATACTAGGACCAGAATCAGTCAAAAACCTGTCAGATAATGTATATCTGCTACGTATAGCCTTGAAAGTCTTCAGAATAACGTTTGATTTCTTTCTTTCTTTCTTTCTTTCTTTCTTTCTTTCTTTCTTTCTTTCTTTCTTTCTTTCTTTCTTTCTTTCTTTTTTTTGGAGACAAGGTCTTACTATGTAGCCCAGGCTGGCCTTGAACTCCTGGCAGTCCTCCTACCTCAGCCTCCCAAGTGCTGGGATAACAGGTGTGCATCACCATGCCTAGCTTTAATCTTTGGATATAAGTAATCTCAGCTGACCAGGTATCTGGCTTTGTTTCTTTCCCCTTATTAAAACATGCGTACATTTTACCTCATGGTCTTACTTGATCTTTGTGTCACACCTCACAGGTTCTGAGGCCAGGTTGATAGGTCATGTTGACATTTATTTGCTGCTGCTTTTTTTGGTTTTAGTTTCTTTTGTTTTTCTGAGACAGGGTCTTGCTGTGTAGCCTTGGCTTGAGCTCTGTCTGTAGTGCAGCCTGGCCCCAGGTAGCAGTCCTCTTGCCCCAGCCTCCTGAGTATGGGCATGCACCACCACTGCCTGTTGCTTCTCCGTTTTCTTTCCTTTTGGCCTCAGGGAGTGACTTGTCTGTATGCAACTTCATTTAGCATGCAACTCATTGTCAGTTTTATTGGGGCTGTTTCCAAGATATTTGAAGGCTTGTTGTTTGAATATTCTAGTTTAGTTTTTTTCTTTGGAAGTGAAAACAATCCCAGTGAAATTGTCAGTGATCTCCAGCTGGTTTTTTTCACCTTGTTACGCAAGTTCAAATTACCTGGAGCTGGGCTGTGGTGACTCACAGCTGTAATCCCAACCCTCAGAAGGCTGAGGCAGGAGGGTTGCTGTGAGTTTGAGACCAGTCTGGGCTACGTAAGGAGGTCAAGACCAGCTTATACTACATAATGAGACCCTGTGTTAAAAAAACAAAAGAACAAAACTAAGAGTCAGTCTGGGAGCATTAAGTTAGGTTTCCAGAAAAGTTCTTCCTGCTTTGACAGTGCCTCTCGGAATTCCTGTCCTCATTATTAGCTTACAGGCTTTGCTTCTAGGGCCTGGACGTTAGCATTTAGTGTTTTTCTTGGCTGACTCATAGCATAACCACTAGCCTGGAGGGTTGATTGCTTATTTTTAAAAATATTTATTTATTTATTTATTTATTTATTTATTTGTGTGTGGCCAGCTCAGCCCACCAGGGGGCGGGGCTGGCTGGCATGTGGTGCTGGGGGGTTGAACCGCGGTCCCTGCGCTTTGCTAAACTTGTTCTAAGTAGGTCCTTTAGACCACTGAGCCATCTCACCAGCCCTTGATTGCTTATTTTATGTGTACTTTTTTTTTTTTTTTTTTGCTTTTCCAGGGAATGGGGCTTGTGATTGCTCAGGCTTTATCTGAATACAACAGGTAAATACACTTTTTTCATTTGAATGGTTCAGTAGGTAGCAGACTTATTAAGAGTTCTTGGGTAGAAATCTCTGACCAACCCCAAGTGTTCAGAGGTATAGCTGCAGGCAGATGTATTTGCAGTAGCTCAACTGATGGCATTAGCAGGAGTGTTTTTAACACCATGGAAAAGTAGCCACCAGGTTGTATGCATCTTTAGTCTAAGCAGTTGGGCTCTTTCTTTTGCAGATTTTGGTCTTTTATTGCAGAATATTTTAACCATATTTCTAGCTATAAGCCAGCTTTTTCTGTTTGGCCCAATTACATTTTCTATGTATAAAAAGCTCACAGAGCACCAATTTTTTTTTTTTTTTTTTTTTTTTGTATTTTTTCTCTTTTTTTTTTTTTGAGATACAGTCTCACTGTGTAGTTCAGGCTGACCTTGAACTCTGTGTAGCCCACACTGACCTTAACTCTCAGCAGTCCTTGTGCCTCAGCTTCCCAAGCAGCTAGGATGACATGCCCGGCTAACCCTTTTTACTTTTAAGAGTACAAATAGCTGGGTGTGGTGGTCCATGTCGATAATCCCAGCACTGAGGAGGCCGAGGCAAGAGGATTTTCATGAGTTTGAGGCTTGCCTGAGGTGCATTTAAGGCCAGCCTGAACTACTTTTTTTTTTTTTTTTTTTTTTTTTTTTTTTTTTTTTTTTTTTTTTTTTTTTTT